TAGATAGATAGATAGATAGATAGATAGATAGATAGATAGATAGATAGATAGATAGATAGATAGATAGATAGATAGATAGATAGATAGATAGATAGATAGATAGATAGATAGATAGATAGAATTTCTGTTTTTTATTTTTACGTCCCTCCACCTAAAAGATTTCAGTTTGTTGTTCAACTGAGTTGTACAGTTCATAGGTCTCATTAAAGATGGAAAAAGTTCAGAAATGATTTATCTTTGTCTCATTTTTTTTACATCACAGACACTTGACATTTTAACAGGGGTGTGTAAACTTTTTATATCCACAGTATGGAACACCAGGCATTATTTAAGGATCTTAACGCCTCCCACCACAGCGTTCCCTGTAACCTTCTATAAAAGGGGACAATGAATAAGACTGTCAAGTTTGCAAATGCAAATACACTCTCCCTGTCATCTCTTTTCGAAAGGGCTTGTTGATCTTACATTAGAAAAGAGCTAAATCCAATTATTAGACCCAACTAAAAGCAGGACCATTGAATGAATGGAACCTACAGGAGTCAGCAAAGTCTCACTAATTTGGTGATTCTGCTCAGAAAATCTGATATAGTGCCTTATGTTGGATCTCTAAAATCTACATTTTGTTTTTTTTAATCATGAGGGTCATAATCATCCCCATCATCCTTCCAATGGGGGCATTTCCACAGAAAGGTGCATTGAATGGGAAGACCTGAACCCTTAGCCAGCCACCCTCTGGCCTGGCATTTATTATTTGCACATGAGTTGTTAGAGAAGCATTACTTTCTTCTGGAGATGATGCTACTTCTGAAGTCAAAATACCATGAAATTTAATTTTACGCCTGTTTGCAGAGGCTTGATTTCGCACACACACACCCCATCAGCGCTGGCGATAAGGGTCCTCTGCCAACCTGCGTTGGAGGCGGCTGGGCAGCTGGGGTGGCAGACCTAATAGGGCGAATCAGCAGGAATAACACTCGAAAATCCCCCAGGAAGTGGGCCATTAAGGTGAGCCCTATCTCCTCTCCTCCCCGGCTCCTTGTCTGCTGTGTTCTCCGGTTGCCGGGCACTAAAGCAAACCAGAGTTTTGTTTACCGAGCCTGCGATTACAATACAGCCACCAAATATTTGCTAGTTCCTCCGTTCTCCCGGCTCCACTATAAATACTTCTGCCCCACCTGGGCGCTGGTATAGGAGGAAGGAGGGGGCTTGAGCGGCCGGCCGATCAGGTAAGTGGCAGGGAGTCTCGGGAAGGGGGGGAAAAAGAATCTCCCGGGGACGGTCCTTCGCCGAACGTGGTTCGGCAATTGCAGTCCAACAAGCTGGCAGAGGGGACCCACACCATTCGGCCCCCTGCCTTATTTCCAAGAAGCGGAAGGCATCAATGGGGAGTCCCACGTTCTACCCACAACAGCCCTGCAGGGTAGCTTGAGAAACGGCAGATCCCTTTTGCTACCTAAGGCTTCGCTGTCCTGCTGGTTAAGCTTGGGTCTCAGGAGATTGACATGCGCCAGGAGAGGAGGGCACGCTCTGGGCATGTGAAGGAGCTATTCAACTTGTCCCTGATGTGCTAGATGCAGGGAACATTCCATGGGCAGGCCTGAGTCTTTCTGCCAGCCCATATTTGGGCCCTCCGAGGTTTGGCACCCTTGGGTCTGGTCACTGCTGTGAGCTTTCCAGCTGAAAGGAGACACGCAGAGTTCTCCAGGTCAGAGAATCGGTTCAGTAAATCATCTTGGGAAAGAGGCTAGCCATCTCATCTAAAAGGGCAGCCAGGGACAGAAAAAGAAGCCCAGCCAACCTCTTCTGATGCTATTTTACTATCTGTTAGGTTGTATGTGTGTGTGTGTCTGTATGTGTGCATGTATGTGTATGCACACTATAATTATTTAAGATATTTTCACCCCATCTTTCTCCTAAAACAGGACCCAAGGCAGCATACGCCATTAAAAAACACAATACTAAAAGCTAAAAACAGTAAATTATTCTAATGTTAAAGAAGAATTAATAACATATTTTAAACGTTAGATAAAAACATTACTAAAACCAGCTTTAGAAGCATCAAAATATAAACCATCCCATTTATCGTCTCCTAGACAGGCAGTCACTGGGGTAGTCTACGACTTCTATCACTTCATCCCATAATGCACGCAAAGTAAACCTTAGGCTGAAGGCCTAGACAAAAGCAGATTCTTGAGAGTGGGCTGTGCATGAAAAGGGACACCTTTCCGAACAAGCCCGCACATGGAACGCTCCCTGCATCTAGCAATCCAGCACATCAGGGGCAAATAGCTCCTTCCCTGATACACAGGCTTTCCACATGTGGGGAGCTTTTGACATTGGAGAAGCACGTGGAGTTACGTAGGACCTTGCGAGGGGTGTGAAGTACAGCCATTACACTCCTGTCTTCCTGTGTCTGATGATGTTCTGTCCTCCCTAAGGTGGTTCTGTCTAGAAAAAGCCGAGCGGGAGGAGTTTAAAAATGGCTGCCGGGGTCATCCAAAGCCTGAGCAAGTTCAGGCTCGCGCCAGGCTTCCAGCATCTTTTCCTCTCCAGCACCACCAGCCAGGAGATGGCTTTGCACGACTCGTCAGAGGAGGAAGAAATGGAAGAGGAAGAGGAGGAAGCAGAGGAAGAAGAAGTGGAAGGAGGAGGAGGAGGAAGAGGAGAGGAAATGGAAGCCACAGATGATGATCCGGAGGGCCACGGTCCTCGTGGAAAGCAAGAGACCCCCACTGTGGCTGCTGACCTAAGCGGCGCAGAAATGACCGCACAGCTCCTTCGGTTTGCCGAGCGCGTCAGCGAGGACATCCAGAGATACTTTGGCAGGAAAAGCCAAGACGACGACTCGGAGGCCTGCAATATCTACGAGGACCGGGGTTCCCCCCAGCTGTCAGGGCGCCTGTTGTACTACACGGATCTGGTCCAGATTTCTCAGAGCAGAGCGCCGGAGGAAGACAACGAGGACGACGAGGACCTTCCTCCTGCCTCGACGCCAACGTGGAGGTCTCTGGGGAGCAAGGCGGAGGAGGATGAGAGGCTGGGACCCTTGGCCGAGCTCTTTGAATATGCCTTGTGCCGGTACGCCAAGCCCCAAGCCCTGCACGACCCCGAGAAGCTGAGGATGGAGAGGAAGTACGGCCATCTCTCCCCCATGCACGGCAGGAAGCTCCCCCAGTCCTTCTGGAAAGAGCCAGCCTTCAGCCCCATCGGCGTCCTCGGCAGCAACCCTCCCGATTTTAGCGATCTTTTGGCCAACTGGACGTCCGAAACCAGCCAGGAGGAACTTCATGCCAGCTGAGGGCATGGCGGCCATGAGGGGAACCGGAAAGAGGACGACACGCATCACTGTGGTGGTTTACGAGGGTCCAGAAGCGTGGGAACCCCTTTCTTTCTCCCGCACTGGCTAAGTACGTTTGGTACTTAAAAATCCCCATCCTCGCCTTGTATAATTTGTAAATAAACACTTTAGGAAACATACCAGCTTGCTTTGTTACTTTGTCAATGTAGGTTGCACCAATAAAATAAAATAAAATACTTTGACTTGGATTCCTGCATTGGACTCGATGGCCTTATAGGCCTTTGCAAGTTCATTGTTATCTGTTTCTATGAAAAGAAAACAAAATAAATGTTTGCTGGGCCTCTGATCCCTGGGGTTGGAGCTCGAAACAACATTCATTTGTAGTAAAGAAAGGCTCTCAGTTGGCAGATTTACTCACGGTCTGATATCACCGCCACCAAACACCCGTGGGAACATCAGGTAGAGAAGGTGTCAGAAAATGACAAAGTCGAGATCTTGTGGGATTTCTGGATCCAAATCGATAAGACACGTTGAACATAACACACCAGACACGGTAGAAATATGGATCCAAATCGTCTGGATCATTGACATTGCAATTCCAGGGGATGTTAGAGCTGAAAATAAAAAAATTGGAAAAACTAACAAAAGTACAGAGACCTGGCTATCGAAACAATTCGCCTCTGGAAGAAACACACTTCAGTAGTCCCCGTAGTCATTGGGGCTTTGAGAACAATATCAAGAAACTTCACACAACATTATAAGCCGTTGCAGATCTCAGAAATCACACCATCAGAGCTACAAAAAATGGCATTATTAAGAACAGCATACATACTGAGCTGATATTTAATAGATACTTAGGTATTTGGTTAAAACATTTATCTGTTGTATAATGCGGTTTTTGGTTAAAACATGTATCTGTTGTATAATGGCAGTCAATATTTTATTAAAATTTATTGACTGTGCCTGGAGTTTTTGAAAACAACAACAACAACAACAACAGTTGTTGTTGTTGGTGGTGGTGTTTCATTATACAACAACAACAACAACAACAACTATTGTTGTTGTTTCATTACATACTGTCTAGTTAATTTCTGAATCATAGCAGGAACTATGCAGGGCCCCACACCTAAAGAGAAATTCGGATTCACGATTTAAGTCTGTTCCTCTGTGTGTCTCAGAAACAACAGAACTTGAGAAAAATATATCTTGGCGGACTACAATTCCCAGAATCCCCTAGCCCAAGCTCCCGGGGGCATGGACTGATCACGTGACACCAGTCATACCAAACACAACACAGAAATATTTATCTTAAGCTTCATATTTAGATCTGATCTAACTAGCAGAATTTGACCCTTTCCCTAAGGAGGGGGGAAAAGGTTTTGTTTCCCACTAGAAAAACTGAAAAATGGTCCTAGAGAAAAATCATAATAATGGGAAAATGCACTCACATCTAATTTTGCACGCCCACACGCACACACACCGGTAGTAATACTAACAATATTCTATTGTGATTATTAAACTTCACTGGATTGTTACTTAAATACAAGTAAATGCATAGCAAGTGTTTGGTGGTGTCCAGCCTACATAAAGAGAATTCTATCTTGTTTGCTGTGATTTTTTTTTTGAGCCAGTGGTGTTGCAAAAATTAACAGTGGCTTTGAAATATAAATCCTATCAGAAGAGTGTGTGTGTGTGTGTGTTTGGTGTGTAAAGACAGGAATGTCTGGAGGCGAAGGAGGTGCTCGGTGGTGACACATTCATCTGTCTTCTGCTAAGCAAACCTCTCCTCTTTGCTCAGAAAAGGCTCTTATCAGCAGGAAGACAAGCCTCGCCTCTCTTCCCCCACCTTTTTCTAGGGCAAGTCAATAAATCCCTGGCAGATGGAGTTCCTTACACGAAGGAAGGCAGAGAACTTATAAATCTCCAAATCTTCTTATGAACACTCTCTGTGCCCGGCTGAGATCTTCTGCTACCTGAAGGAAAGAGTGCTATGGACACCCACCCGTCCACCCGCATTTTGTATTCAGAAGGGAACTGAGTGGACAACTGTTTTTTCCCCCCTCCACTTCAGTTTTCCCATGCAGAGCTTGGAAACGATTAATTATGCGGACTACCACTCCCATTGGTCACATCGGGCTTGGGAATTATGGGAGTTTGAATGGCCAAAAAATATATATATTTCACTACCCCCGCAAGTTCTGGGGATGTCCTCAGCTTTGCCTTCCAACAGAAAGGGTGCAGCCGGGAGAAGAGCTGCCATGGCGACCACATCATCCTCACCCCTGGCAGTGGTCTAGGTCTGGTTACTGTGAAATGTAGACAGAGCTGTTTATTTCCTGAAAAGCCCACAGAGTGAACAATGGAAAAAGAAAGACCGTTTTTCAGCTTGAGAAAGAACACTGCAGATGATGATGGGCTGAAGAAGAGCCGCGGGGATCTTCCATCGCTAGTTGTGTTCAGTGAACGAATAGCTCATCACTGCTCTCTTGTGGTTACTGGCACCACACTGAGCCTCTTCACAAAGGAGGGTGAGTTGCATAGCTTCCCTTTGAGAAAACCAGGAGTTGTACGATTGACAGGAACACCATGCGGGGAGATTGCTCTCTCTGTCTCTTTCTGTGTGTGATGCGATCAGCAGTCGCTAAATTCCTCCATTCTTATCAACTCAGGGACATTGCGAGGAATTTTTAAGGCCAGTGAGATATTCTGCCTCCAGGGCGAGAGTGAGACAGGGAGCACTTTACCCATCGCCTATGCATCATGGCCTCTCCCAATTTGAAGAGACCCTTGTCCAGCAGGCTGAGGCAAAGAGGCAGTCCTGAAAGCAACAAAATCAGGGAGCTGGACAAGGGACAGATTGGATTTGTCTGCAGTGTGGAAGGGACGGTCACTCTCGAATTGGCCTTCTCAGCCATACTAGATGCTGTTCCTCCATACAGAGCACATTACCATAGTCTTCCGAGACTGAAGGATGCCTAACTAAGCCTTACAATTTGTGCAAAGATATTGCTGGGCAAAATAACGGGATCTTTCTCTCCGAGAAGCAAAGCGCACCTGATCCAGCAAGCCCTGAACGCAAGAATAAATCCAGAACGGGTTTCTAGCCTGGATTTGAATTTGACATTTTGGCAAAGAAACGGGATATAAATCCAATTTTGTTTAAAAAGAAAATGAAGTCAAATCTGTCTCTGCTTCAGGCTTCAAAGTAGGAAGCCTTCCCCTATAGGAGTCTATGAGCCTGTTAGTTTCTCTACCTTATTAACAAAGGAAAGCCGCACCCATTAGCAACCTGAGTTGATAGCAACCCTCCCAAGGACAAGGAAGAACGCTTGGTGGAAACGACTGATAGAATTCTGCTTGGTTTCCTGCTGCATTTCCTCTTTCCAGCTAAATCAAGGCCCTCTCGTGCATGGATTTCGAAAAAGGACCTGAAAACAACACCATCAGCACTTTACGGGAGCAGATCCGGCGCCTCACCAATGAAAACGTAAGTATCCGAGGAAATACCTGCCCTGTCTCCAGTAGAGACGGGCACGAACTGGGAAAACAGTGATTCGTTCATCGTTCGGGGATACTCAAATATACTGACTCCCTCCCAAAATGAACTAGTTTGTGGTTTGTTTTTTGGGGGTTTTGTGCCAAGGGTGAGAAAACTGGCCCAATGTTGTTAATGATGATGATGATGACGATGATGATGATGATGATGATGATGATGATGATGATGATGATGATGATGATGATGATGAGCTTTGAGCTGGAAGGGACCCTATGGATTATCAAGTCCAGCCCCTCTCAAGGAGGCGCAATGGGGAATTGAACACCCAACCTTTGGCTCCCCCCCCAGCCAGAGACCTCAGCCACAGAGCTGTGATGATGATGGCTAAAAGCCTATTGCTCAACATAGTAAGTTGCAACTAGAGTAGGCCCTTGGAAATCAATAGAATTTATGGAGGAGTTGATTCACTAAATCCACACTGATTCAGTGATCCTACTCTAGACTTTACTGAGCAAAAGATTTTAGCCACTGAATTTATCCCAGTCAAGTTCTGTAAGACTGGCAATGAAAAAATGTGTCCCTCGTTGGGTTTCCTGTGACTGTGGGCTATTTCTAAGCAAGTACACACACATCCCTTCAAAAGGAGGGCCTCTGAAAGATGCCCACCAATAGACTTTAGTCAAGGGGAAGACGAAGAAATGCTGGAGGGTGTTAAATACAGTGGAGGGTGATAATTCCAGTTTTCCAGGAGTGGTGAATCCTCTTGGGGTTTTAGTCCAAACTTTGACTCAGCGATCCAAGATTCTGAGCCTGTAGGTTTCAGTTCAGCTTGGTTACCTCCTATAAAGTTTGGTCTACAATTCAGAAGGGATTCACTGCTCCCGTAAATCTGGAGTCACCAACCTCCATGGATAAAAGAAATAAAATACAGTGTCGGCATCATTATCACTCGGTACAGATTCAGTTGCAAGACAGAAATGAACGGCTTTACAGCAAGCTCGGTGGGCTGCAGGAGAAAATGGGGCAGCTGGCCAGTTCGAAAATGGACTTGTCTTCCAGACTGATCCGCAGCGAAGAGGAGAAGCTTAAGGTAACGCTGGGTACGGCCCCTACAGAGGGGCATGCGCGAAATTGACAATAATATTCATGCTTCCCAGTTTCCTCCAAATCTTCAAAGCAATTCACGTGAATTATCCCACTAATCCGAACACAACAGCCCTTGGAAGTAGGCCAGGCATCTTCTGTAAATAACTACACAAGGCGATTCTCCCACTAATCCGAACACAACAGCCCTTGGAGGTAGGCCAGGCTTACTACACAAGGCGATTCTCTGAGCAGAACAGCACAAACCACGACAATAGCGCTGTACTGCCAAGTCAGTTCTGGCTTAACGGCGACCCCTTTTCAGAATTTTCTAGGTAGAGGGAATACTCAGAAGGGGTTTCCCCTTCCCTTCCACTAGGGGGTGCTGTGGGACTGTGCAGCTGGCCCAAGGCTACCCAGGCTGGCTTTTCTCCCAGGAGGCAAAGTGGAGAATTGAATCTCCCACCTCCGGCTCTGCAGCCAGAGACCTTACACCACTGAGAAGCGCTGCCCCCCCCCAACTTTTCCAGGTTAGTTTTCTGTGGCCCAGAGCATAAGGGAGATGTACGTTCCTTCTCTTCTTAGCTCTCCAAGGACTTTGTCGATTTCCAGATTGAAGCCAACAAAACGAAAGAGCAACACGAGGCAGAAACCTATGAACTCAAGACTCAGGTAAAAGTTTCCGCTTTGGAATGTCGAGGGAAAGCCTGTCACCTGTACCTTTCTGCAAGGTGAGGTTTTTGCTCCCGTGGTCTTCATGGCGCCCAGACCGCCCACCGGAAAGGCAGAATACCTCTGTGCTATACCAAAGCTCTCCAGCAGAGGGCTCTCAGTAGGTCAGCAAACTAGAAATCCCAGGATTCCATTGTATACGCCAGTGGTTTTTAACCTTTGTTACTCGGATGCTTTTGAACTGCAACTCCCAGAAACCCCGGTCAGGACAGCTGGTGGTGAAGGCTTCTGGGAGTTGCAGTCCAAAACTCCTGAGTAACCCAAGGTTAAGAACCAGTGGTATACGCCATCCTTGTGCAGT